GCGCCTGGGTGGCTCAGTGGGTTAAGCCGCTGCCTTCGGCTCAGGTCATGATCTCGGGGTCCTGGGATCGAGTCCCGCATCGGGCTCTCTGCTCAGCAGGGAGCCTGCTTCCCTCTCTCTCTCTCTCTGCCTGCCTCTCTGTCTACTTGTGATCTCTCTCTGTCAAATAAACAAATAAAAAAAAAAAAATAAAATCTGTTTTTAAGGGGCGCCTGGGTGGCTCAGTGGGTTGGGCCGCTGCCTTCAGCTCAGGTCATGATCTCAGGGTCCTGGGATAGAGTCCCGCATCGGGCTCTCTGCTCGGCAGGGAGCCTGCTTCCCTCTCTCTCTCTCTCTCTGCCTGCCTCTCTGTCTACTTGTGATCTCTCTCTGTCAAATAAATAAATAAAATCTTAAAAAAAAAAATCTGTTTTTAAAAAAACCCCTTCTCGGGGCGCGTGGGTAACTCAGTGATTAAGCGTCTGCCTTCGGCTCGGGTCATGGTCCCAGGGTCCTGGGATCGAACCCCGCGTCGGGCTCTCTGCTCCACGGGGAGCCGGTTTCTTGCGCTCCCTCTGCTGCTGCTCCCCTGCTTGTGCTCATTTGCTTTCTATCAAATAAATACAATCTTAAAACAAAACCAACCAAAACCCTCTCTAGGGACCTAGTTAAAAAAAAAAATCCAGATTTGGGGGCACCTGGCTGGCTCAGTCGATGGAGAGTATGACTCTTGATCTCAGGGTAGTGAGTTTGAGCCCCGCACTGGGTATAGAGATTACTTAAAAAATAAATCTTAAAAAGAAAAGAAAAAAGGAATCATAAAGCACATGGCATTTTGTGATTACCCTCTCTCTCTTTTTTTAAATATATTTTTAAAGATTTTTATTTATTTATTTGACAGACAGAGGTCACAAGCAGGCAGAGGAGATAAGCAGAGAGAGAGGAGGAAGCCGGCTCCCTGTCGAGCAGAGAGCCCGATGCGGGGCTTGATCCCAGGACCCTGGGACCATGACCTGAGCCGAAGGCAGAGGCTTTATTTAACCCACTGAGCCACCCAGGCGCCCCGTGATTACCCTCTCTTATCCAGAGTAACGGTTTCACACTTCACCCATTTTGTTACCTATCTCTGTATCTCACTTCTTTATTTCTTTTTTAATTTAAGATTTCATTTATTTGACAGGGAGAGAGAGAGAGAGAGTACAAGCAGGGGCAGCCCACTGCCCACTGAGCAGGGAGTTCGACATGGAGCTCAATCCCAAGACCTTGGGGTCATGACCTGAGCCAAAGGCAGCCGCTTAACAGACTGAGCCCCCTGGTGACCTCAGTACCTCATTTCTTGTTCCTGCCCAAGAGCACCCCATTGTGAGCACAGACCACGAACTGTTAATCCACTTATCCACTGTGGGAAACTTGCTTCCACCTGTTGGCTACTATGAATGCTGCTGTTACGAACATCTCTGTGTAAGTGTTTGTGGGACATGATGTTTTCCGTTCTACTGGGCAGACGCTTACCAGCACAACTGCCGGGTCATATGGTAACTATCTGTTTAACTTCTTGACGAACTGCCAAAATGTTTCCCAAAGAGGGTTACACCACTTCACATTCTCAACAACAATGTCTGAGGTTTCCAATTTCTTCACATTGTGCACCAACCCTTTAATTAAAGCCACCCTAGCAGGTGTGAGGTGGTCTCTCATTGTTGTTTTTGATTGCCATTTCCACAATGACTAATGATGTTGAGCATTTTGTCACGTGTGTATCGGCCACGGGTATGACTCTTTTGGAGAAATGTCTATTCAAATGATCTACCCACTTAAATTGTGTTGTCTTTAAATTAATGAGTCTCAACAGTTCTTTATACATCTGGGTTTCTGGATACAAGTCTCTTGGTACACAATTTGCAAACATTTCTCCATTCTGTGCATTGTTTTTTCATTTTCCTGAGGGTGATTTTTGAAGCACGGAAGTTTTAAATACTGACCAAGTTCAATTTGTCTTTTTCTTTTGTTGCATAGGATTTTGGTATTATAGCTGAGAAATTATTGCTCGATCCAAGGTCATGAAGATTTCCTCCCATGTTTTCTTCAAGAGTTTTATGGTTTTAGCTGTTATATTTAGGCTGATGATCCATTTTGAGTTCATGTTTTTATATGGTGTGAGGCAAGGGTCCAACTTCAACCTTTTGTATGTGTATATCCAGTTACCATAGAACCACCTACTGGAAACACCATGGTCTCCTCATTCGACTGTCATGGCACTCTCATCAAAAATCAATTGACTATAAGTTTAAGGGCACAATATACATTTTGATAAGTATTATGAAAAGTAAAATTTTACTTGAAATGCACTTCTCTAATGAAATAAAGAAACCTGATTTCCTTAGTTAAACGTTTAAGAATAAACATGATTTTGTTTGTTGATTCTGACTCTTATCAGTGGTAAGATGCATTATTACTTTATTTATATGACTACTTTATTCATATAACTCATACAGCAAAGACAGAGATGAACCCAGGTCTGGCTGACTCAAAGTCATGCTCATTACTTACATGATACTGGAAAAGACTGGTTCAGAATAACTGACTGGCTCACTTCTAGCCTAATCATAAAATATTATTTGAACGACAAAATAGCACTGTCCAGGAAAAAAAAAATCTGTCCTCCAACAGCCTGATTTTAAACCCTGTTTCAGAGGGAAAAAGACCCACTAGACTTGGATAGGCTTTTCCATTATTTACTGACTTTGCAGACCACTGAGTACAAATCAGTCTTAGTGTGACATTAAAATGGGGATGTGGAGATAAAATTTTTATCATAAATTAAGGGATTCCTAGTCTGCACCTCCTAATCTCTATCTGTACCAGAGACATGAGAGGAACACTGGCCTATTATCCTTCCCATCTTCCTTGGCACGAGCCGCCACTCTCATCCCCTCGGGTAGCTTCAGTCGAAGACTTAGGTTAGATCCCAGCCAGGACAAAACCAGTAAGACCAAAATGGTCATGTTTTCCTTTAAGTGGGTCTTTTAAATGACTTCTTTTCTGAGCCTGTCACCGTCAGATTCAAGGAAACAGCTAAATCTGCCGAGAACCCGCTTCCGGGCTACGACATCACGTAACAGAACCCTCGTTCAGAAGAGCCTTGGCAGCAATCCCAGAGAATGTGGAACTTACTCTTGCCTTCGTTAAGGTAAGAGAACTAAACCTTGGAACTGCATGTTGGAGTTAAACCATTCTCCTTCCACCCAGTACAGAATAATTAAAGCAAACTAATCCTTATTGCAGAACGTGTTGTCTATGCTCGCTCCTTTAAATACACTGCTGGTGCGGGGTCCTATGGGGAGAAAAAGGGGATTCGATAATCCTAGCACCGAGAAGAGTCCCACAGTCACGAGGACCGGGAGTCATCGTTTAAAAGAACACTGCAATGCACAGGGTGTACATCTACTGCATAAGGAGGCAGCCCCTGTCACGGCCTATTCAACAGGTCATCCTGGGTTCTCCTCCTCCTCTTTCATTTGTATGTGCACTGGCTAAACTTCTATTATGAACCAGGCACTAGGAAATAGAAGGAGAGTAAGGGAGTCAAATGATCCTGCACCTGGAGCTTATAATCTAATGAGGGAGACAGACAACTAACAAGGAAACAGAGCAATCATGGATTACAGAAAGGAATGGAGAGGATGCTGTGATACAGAGTAAAAGGAGGGGCCCTCTTTGGAGTGACAATCAGGAAAACAATTTCAAAGAAAATGACATTTAGTGGATACTGACATTAAACTCATCCTTAAAGGACAAGAAGCCAACCATGGGAGAGTAAGAACAGTTTTTTAGGCAGTGGGAATAACAAGCATATACTGGCGCGCTGGGCGGGGAAGGCCTTAGTCTGTTCCAGGACCTGAGAGAAGACCAGCGAGACTGCACATGGCAGGTTAGGGAGAAACGGGAACAGAGGGACAGGGATGACGGGGAGGGGTGGGTTGTTAGGGACCAGGTCATCTTTTTTTTCCCCTTTTAAATATTTGTTTATTTATTGGGGGGGAGGGGCAGAGGGAGAGAGAATTCTAAAGCAGATTCCCTGCTGAGTATAGAGCCTGATGAGGGGCTCGATCCCAGGCCCCTGAGCTCATGACCTGAGCCAAAATCACGAGTCAGATGTTTAACCAACTGAGCCTCCCAGGCGCCCCTGGGACAAGGTTACTCTTAAAAGCTATAGTAAGGAAGTTACTGTTTAACAGTAAGACACTGCAAGGTTTTAAGTATAATCTAGTTTCAGTTATAAGATTTCTTTTTTTACTGCGTGGGGAGTGAAGTGGAGGGAGCAGGAATGGAAACGGACACAGGTGTCAGAAGGCCTCTGCGGGAGTCTGAGCTGAAGTCACGTGTGGGACGCACCTGAGAGTGACAATGGGACCTGCAGACAAGCGGGATGGACTGCATGGACGGCAACCACCAAACTTGGGGGCGCAGACTGGATGCAGCTCTGGGGGAGCGGGAGGGACCCAGGATCACTGCCAGGTACCGGTTACTGATCTGGTAAGCCCAACGGCAGGATCCCAGGAGGTACTGTTACCCCGATGCTAAACAAAGCCTTGGCATTTCCTCCCAAAATGAACAGAAGGATAAACCCTGCTCAATTTGCAGGCAGATAAATGATTAGGAAAGTGGTGGGCTCTCTCCCGATGATTATTAGGTATCCATAATCACATCTTTCTGAACATGGAAACCTCTGAGACTGAAGCGGTGAACAGCTGGGCTTTCCCAGGTGACATACTTGGGATCAAATGCTACAGACGTAGTGTTTTTTATTACTGAAACTTGAGTAAGAAAGATGTATGTCATTGTGACTCCCAGAGAGCAAAGAATTTGCAGAATTCTTCAGAGTGAGGATAAATTAAACGGTAAAGAAAGAGCTCGACCTCATCGGAGATGCAGAAATAATAGGAACACGAAAACACTTCATCCGAACTCAAGAAATGCCATTTCTTCTAAGCAACGTATTGTCTCTCCGGAGCACTCACCGACATGAATGGGGGCTGGGAACAGTCCGTACTCGTGCTCTCCAGGACAGTATTCCAGCTTCTCTTTCTTTAATTGGATCAACCGGCTCTTTGGGCTGCATAGGAAAAGAATGGAAAGTTATCAGAGGCGATAGAATCTCCTCTGTGGCCAAACAAAGAAAACAGACCCCCTGTCAAGAGTTTTTGTTTTGTGACTCCCGGGTGGCTCAGTCACTTAAGCTGCTCCTTCAGCTCAGGTCATGATCCCAGGGTCCTAGGATCGAGTCCTGCACTAGGCTCCCAGCTCAGTGGGCAGTCTGCTTCTCCCCCTCCCTCTCCTGCTCGGCCTGATTGCGCTCTCTCTCTCTCTGTCAAATACATAAATACAATCTCAAAAAGTATTTAACAGTGGCTTAAATTTTAAATGCATATTTTTGGGGGGAATGATATAAAATACATTCATGTATTTTTAGAATCTCTATTTTTGGACTTGTCTTTTAGGAATTACACATAAAAAAGAGCCCTGTTAGCCCTTTCCAGCAGTTCTGCAAGAGGAACCGAAATTTCAGATCTGATCATAATAATAACCTTAAACTTGGCCCATAATTTATGGTATGTATGTATGTATTATTTTCAAAATTTTTTATTTTTTAAAGATTTTACTCATTTATTCATTGAAGAGAGAGAGAGCACACGAGCCAGGGGAGGGGGAGCACAGGGAGAGGGATAAGCAGACTCCCCGCTGAGTGCAGAGCCGGACTCTCGGGTTGATCACATGACCCTGAAATCACAACCTGAGCCGAAATCAAGAGTTGGACATTTAACCAACTGAGCCACCGAGGCGTCTCTATTTTTTTTTTTTTTTTTTTTTTTTATAATCTTTTAAGTAAGGTCAGTACCCAACGTGGGGCTTGAACCTACAACCCCGGGATCAAGAGTTGCAAGCTCCGTCAACTGAGCCAGCCAGGCGGCCTGAAGATTTATAGTTTAGGAAGTACTTTCACACATGATCATTTGTATCAATCCTAAGAAGTAGGTAAGAAGACATGTTAGCTCTAGTTTACAGATCTGAAAACAGATGCTCTATGAATTCAAATGACTTGCCATCATTTCAGTAGTAACTAAGGAGATTTAAGACGAAAACTCCAGTTTCCTGCCCGGCTCCTCCTCACTGTTCTTTTTTTCTATCTGCAACGTCTCCACAGACGCGCCTCTTCGGCTTGTCTGTCTGACTGGCCTGTGTTTCCAGTATCTGGTATGAGATCAGTCTTGAGACATTTCACAAATACATAAAAGGGGAAAAAGAAAAAGAAATAAAAAGGAAACGAAGAAAAAGAAAAAAGGGTTTCCGAAGAGCTTCACTTAGTCTACTCGGATTTTATTTTGCCTTTAAGTTCCAACAAATAAGGCTGATGTATTTCTTTTCCCCCTGTGAATCACAACATACTGCTGTCTTAGATTTTTTTTTAATTTGACAGAGAGAAATCACAAGCAGGCAGAGAGGGAGAGGGAGAGGCAGGCCCCCTGCTGAGCAGAGAGCCCGATGTGGGGCTCCATCCCAGGACCCTGAGATCATGACCTGAGCGGAAGGCAGAGGCTCAACCCACTGAGTCACCCAGGCGCCCCCATACTGCTTTTTTAAAAACAAGTCTCTTCTATCTTGTTACAAGCAGCTATAGTAATACCTATTTTGTAGGTAAGAAAACTGAGGCTCCCAAAAGTAAATTATTTGTAGAACCTGAAGTACTTAAATTTGAACACTGGTTCCTTCTACTAGATCATTCATTTATTTGTTCAACAATTACTGAGTACTCACTAAGTCCGGGTCCTGTTTTTTTTTTTTTTTTTTTAAGATTTTATTTATTTGGGTCACCTGGGTGGCTCAGTGGGTTAAGCCTCCGCCTTCAGCTCAGGTCACGGTCTCAGGGTCCTGGGATCAAGCCCCGCATCAGGCTCTCTGCTCAGCGGGGAGTCTGTTTCCTCCTCTGCCTGTCTCTCTGCCTACTTGTGATCTCTCTCTGTCTCTGTCAAATAAATAAATAAAATCTTTTTTTTTTTTTTTTTTAAAGATTTTTTATTTATTTGTCAGAGAGAGAGGGAGAGAGAGCAAGCACAGGCAGACAGAATGGCAGGCAGAGGCAGAGGGAGAAGCAGGCTCCCCGCCAAGCAAGGAGCCCGATGCGGGACTCGATCCCAGGACACTGGGATCGTGACCTGAGCCGAAGGCAGCTGCTCAACCAACTGAGCCACCCAGGCGTCCCTAAATAAATAAAATCTTTTTTAAGATTTTATTTATTTGAGCAAGAGAGCGAGTGCGTGCGTGCACAAACAGGGCGGGGTGGGGGGAGAGAGGGAGAAGCAGGCTCTCTGCTGAAAGGGAGACTGGCAAGGTGCTCGACCCCAGCTCTGGGATCATGACCTGAGTGAAGGCAGATGCTTTGCCAGCTGAGCCACCCAGGTGCCCCTCAAGTCCTGTTCTACGTGCTAAGATGGTGGTGGATAAGACAGTTTACACTGTTCTTAGGTGCAAAGACAATACGTAGGTAAGAAAAACTAAGAAAACAGAAAAAAAATTCAGAAAATGGTAAATGGTAGGCCAATAATTAAAATGTGATGAACAGAGAGTAACAGAGGCTTTTCTGAGGAAGTGATATTCAGCTCAGTTTTAAGTGTCACCGGGTCTTGGCAGTGACAGGAACGAGGAAACGGAGAAGACCAGGCAGAAGAAGGAAGTATCTGGGAGAAGATCACAACTGGAATGGGACCTAGAAGGAGGAGAAATAAAAGGAGGCTGAAGGAGTACAGACGAGGTCAAAAATTGTGAATGAGGTCATGCCAAGAGGTTAAAACACTGGCAAAGAGTTTGGGAGACGGTTTCAAAGAAGAAAAGGAAAGATAAGAGGTCGTTCTATTCATATCTAATAACCACTTTTCTCATTAAAAAAAAAACCCAAATAACTGTGAACACAGATGTGAAATTTTTAAAAAGATTTACTTATCTATCTTATCTATCAATCAATCCATCAGAGAGAGAGAGAGAGTACCCAGCAGGGGGAGCTGGCAGAGGGAGAGGGAGAAGCAGGCTTCCCGCGGAGCGGCAGCCCGGTTCGGGGCTCCATCCCAGGACCCCAGGATCACGTCCTGAGCGGGAGGCAGACGCTTAACTGACAGTACCACCCAGGTGCCCAGAGATATGGATTTTTGAAGTTCAACTAAAAGTTCTATTTCTTCATCATAAGTCAAAGTCAAAGAGGGTAAGAAAACAACTATATCCAGAGCCAAGCATTCTGTGTCAGAGAAAATTTGGTCTACACTACAGTCAAGATTTACCCAAGCAAGTTAAATGGAGGACATAAAAGTTTCCATTTAGTGACAACAGGAATGGAGGCAAAGCGGAGACGTCACCCTGCTTCCCGAGGGTTAGCAAGCAGGCGACACGCGGCGGCCAGGGAGGGGCAGTACCGAGCCCCTGACAAGAGCGCGCACACACGAACTCCAAAGAAATCCAGGGTCACCAGTAGAGCTGCAGCCCCCAACTGCACCCCCCGTCGATGACTGAGCGGTTCTCTAACAACAGCCCCAGGCCGGACCCCGGAGCACTGGCACGCAGGACCCGCGGTGCCGCAGAGAGCAGGACCCCTGCAGGACAGCTCCGTCTCTAGTTCGTGGCCACGCCTGATTCTGGTTCTGATTTTGGGCATGACCTCTGGTTTCCCTGTTGGTGAGAACAGCTCGGGACCTTCTCGCTCTTGCGGTCCAGTACTCGGTTCCACGCAAGCTGCGCAGAGCGGTCAGTGGACAGAGAATGGGGCTCTCTTCATCCGTCTGTCTTGGCGATTCTGAATACTCCGAGCCATTCTCCACGGTGTCCCTGCGCGTGCGACACTAATCGTTCACGTCACTTGGGAGAAAATCTGTAGCAATGGAAGTAACCATTTCAGACATAGAACTGCCACAACACAGAGTCGGCTAAACAGTGTTTCAGTGATAGGCGTTTACTCTGACCAGTGGCTGAAGCTGCAAAATGAGACTATTTCTGTGTATCCGTGTGTAAATGAAAAAAATCCTTGTGCTTTTCTTATCAAAAGAAAATAATCTGCCTTTCATTATGTTCTATTTATTAATGCAACCCATTCAGTATTTGTGGCTACCTTTCTCTCTTTGGTAGTTCATTAGTTTTAATAATTTTTAAAAATAAAATATGAATTTTATAAATTTTACTTTATTTTTAATTTATTTATCCGACAGAGATCACAAGAAGGTAGAGAGGCAGGCAGAGAGAGAGAGAGGAGGAACCAGGCTCCCTGCTCAGCAGAGCCCGATGCGGGGCTCGATCCCAGTACCCTGAGATCATGACCTGAGCTGAAGGCAGAGGCTTTAACCCACTGAGCCACCCAGGCACCCCTATAAATTTTATTTTTTTAAAAGATTTTATTTATTTATTACAGAAAGGATCCTGGGATCAAGCCCTGCATCAGGCTCTCTGCTCAGTGGGGAGCCTGCTTCCTCCTCTCTCTCTACCTACTTGTGATCTCTGTCTGTCAAATAAAAAAAAAAAAAAATCTTTACTTATTACAGAGAAAGATAGCGAGAGAGGGAACAAAGGCACGGGGGGAGTTGGGAGAGGGAGAAGCAGACTTCCCCACTGAGCAGGAAGCCTGATATGGGGCTCGATCCCAGGATGCCCAGATCATGACCTGAGCTGAAGGCAGACACTTAAATACTGACCCACCCAGGCACCCCTAGTTTTAATAATTTATCATTTAAATGCAATTCCAAGATATTAGATCCAAACAGGCAAATCCACCCTCAAGTGGGAGAAAAAGCATAGAAATATTTAAGAAAACATAGAAAAAGTGAGCATTTCTAACACTGATTGTTAATGGTGATGAGGTTTATCTATGGTGATGAAGTTTATCTACGGTGCCTGTCTGTGACCATGTCTTGACTTTAGGCATTTATTACCTTATTCTCGAATCTTGGTCCCAAAACCCAAGTAATGAAACTACTAAGACGTCTTCCTCTAAGTTTCCCGAACAGCTACTGATCCACAGCAAGGGCTTGTTCCAGCACCTTCTCAAGGGGAGGGTAAGGGGATGTCTGGCGGAATGCAGAC